TGTGAGAATCCTTAAGGTTGCGTTAAGATTACATCGTGTCTTGTGATACGAAGTTACTGTGAAATATGAACAGCATAAATCTTTATGGATATTCTTGTCTGGATATGATACTTTTACCTTTAGCATTTTAGTATCTACAAAATAAACAAACAAATCTTACGTTCGTCTAAATAACATTGCTTTACTAGACAGTAAGACACCGCCATTTAATACCCTGCTTGAAACCAAATACATGTACTTTAAACAATTGAAAACAGAATTTGTCAGCCACAAAAGTACATTCTGCAAGCTGGTTTTGATTCTTCTCGTTTAGTCTCACAGTTGTAATTAGGAAATATACCTGTTTTTGCAATTTAAACGTATTTAATCTGCGTTAATATAATATGAAGTTGTCCTTAAACGAGAGTTCATATTGTGCGTAATCAGACAAAATCTGTTTCTGTAACTGCATTATAAATGCACTCTCACGATAGACAGGAATTTAGAGATTTGGGAAGCAGGGTTACACCTAAAACGTTAAAATTGCTATCAATGTGCCTGTCTGGATCTTTGTAATGAGAAATTCGAAATAATGCCTTTTATGGTAACCAAAATTACAAAATGATCAAACAGCACATGAAAGTATCCACGAAGTAGATTGTGTTTAATCACTGGTCATTTATGCCATGGTGATATGCACAGGTCATGTGATCTCAACTCGACTTCATGATTGGCCGATTGTCTCCGCTGTTCGCAATTAAAGTAACTCCATGCGTGATTCTGCAGTTTTATCTGGGCGTCATGATGGCGTCCTTTTTCTGTACATTAATCAGCACTCCTATAAAGGCTGCATCTGAAACCAGCGTTGGTTCTTGATGGCTCTATAGCCGTGTAAAGATCGTTCTCGGGACACTTTGATGTAATCTGCAGACAATGGTTAGTAAAGGAGAACATTTTACACATCATTCACCATGTAACTGGAATCTGCATTGCATCTTCATCTTATCACTGTAGATTATTCTCTGTAGTTTAACAGTGTCGAGTTATGTGCACGGTTGGACCAAATGGTGTCCTATCTTAACGTAAAGCCTATGGTCTTTGAGTTATACGTTTAATCACTTCCATAGCAAGAATCCAATGGAACAAAAAATCATACTCCTTACTAGTCCGTATACTGAAAAATATTTGTATGATCAAATAAAAAAACCCAAATCCTTTCCCATATTTCTGCTTATGTTCAGATGCTTTGAAATACATTGCAATGTAGCTAAATTAGAGAGGAGAGACGTGTTATGTTATACAAGGTTTCATAGAAAATGTGTCAGTGTCATACGCTATTTTTTAATAATTATAGTGGCAATGGTTATATGAAAGCGTTTGCTCTTCACAAATTAATCATTTCGATTCTTTTAAATGTATGAAGCCATCTGGTTATGTTTCAGGTCATGTTATTGCCAGAATATTGCTAAAGGTATCACGGAATCACACTCACTCATACACTCTCGTAAACTTCCACATTATTTTGGTGTGTTCCAATGAAATAAAATGTATCATAAACAAGCATAGTCGCTCAAGCTTGCACAAGAAAAGCGTGTCTATGGCAAATTTGTCGGTATATACACATGTAGTACTTTTGGCTAAAGATCCCACATGGGTATTGTTTGTGAAGAATAGTTTGGGTGTGGCTGAAATATAGCTAAAAGCGGTAAAATAATACTCGCAGTGTACTATTTATAAGAATCTACGCGATAAATATGTAAACAAAAACGACGACTCCTTTTCATAAATCAAAGGAATCTTTTTTGAAGGAGTCCATTCTCCGTTTCCGGCTATATAAGGAGTTTGTGTTTGTAAACAGGATCAGCCCTAACAGAAAGGTGTATAGCAAATATAATAGAAAAGGTGGAATGAATGGCTCACTAGTATAAGCAGCCAGAAACTTAAAACCTACCTTCCCTCAACTATTGGCAGGATTATACTTGCTGTTGTTTTGGCACTACAATCACAATTTCGACATGACATTGTTTTAATCCCAAATTGAACTACCATTTTACTCTAACTGTTTCAAAATATTTCTTCAGATTGCTGTTAGTTCTTAGATCAGTGTTAGTTTTGCCTGGTTTATATTGTAAATGATCAAACACAAATATTATTCATATATACACTTAAAGCCATCAGCAAGCACCATTCTAGTACTTCGAAGTCACTTGTCAATGGAATGGTGCTTTTTGATGTATGGGTCGTGTTCTTTTAGTCGTATAAATTACTACCAATAATAAAACTTATTTAATAAATAATGCATGGAGAAGGTTTGTTTGATAGGAATTATATTTGCCTAATTTGGCCTGATCGGACAAACCCCTCAGGAAAATTGTAAAGTTAAAACACTCGGAGAATGGAGTTAAGTGTTTTGAACTTAAAATTGGCAGACCTTTCACATTTTACGTTTAATAATGTCGACTCCTTTAGAATTCATGGAAAATCAGCATTGTAAAAACTTTCAACAAAGGAAAATCCAGTCTTTTAACCCCCCAAATTACAACGTATTTCCAGTTTTAAGACGTTTGATGCCATTGTGCAAAATATAATATACAGGTTGTGTGCTGTGATTGTTGTATAAAATAGAGGTCATTGTTGAGGTAGCTGAAGGCTTAATCCACCCTCATGCTTGCATTTATTGCTTCGGATATATAAAGATATCCTTCGACAAGAACGCGTTCATCTTAAGTGATCATGGTAACAGAGCATACTGGCTATGAAATGCAGATTTGTGCGCCTGAAAGAGTAAGACAAAATGTGAATGGATAATAATTATGTGAACATAAAAATGTAGGTGTTAAAAATAACATTTAAAGTCAAAGTAATGTTGAAATAGAAAATGTAAAAATTTCTATGATCATCAAACTGTAATCAAAGAATTCAAATATTTATCACCTAAAATGATAAAATACTTTGATGATCTCATGATGTTTAATCAGTACAAGAAAATGTTGCGTTAAACTCTGCATCCTCGAAACTAATGACTGTTTAATCCGTAGACATAATCACGGGAATAAGAAGAATCACTTCCTAACAAATCGTCCGCCTTCAAACGCAGTCTCCTAAGTCAATTCATGAACACGAAGCCCACCGATCAATCCTGCGCGCTCCCGTAAAAACAGTATTTGCTCTTTTAGACATTCTTTATTGGCTGTAAAAACGTTCAATTAAGATTTTCCCTGGACGTTAGAAACATTCAATAACACTTTTCAATGCAATTCATCAATCCAAGGTATTCAACCAGGGGTGGCCTTCTTTCAGAAGCAAACCTTAGTGGCTCGACTTACATGACTTTCATAGATTTTATACAGAAACCTCAGAGATTGCTTTTATTCTGTCTATGAGTTTGAAAGGGTCAGAGAAAAACACCGAAGGTACTGACAAAATACTTTTTACTATGTTGATTCTTCATTGTAGTTTCAATGGCTTCATAAAATGATCTGTTCTTGTCTATTGCCTTGATGTTCCGGCATTGTCGATTTCAAACTGTGTTGTTAGGGATATTGGAGAAAGCAGTCGATATGTAATGAGATTCTTGAAAAAAGAAAGAAATCTACTTTTCTTATCAAAGTTTGAAAGATACTCGTTTTTCGCAATTTATCGAATTTGAGAACAGAACTGAACCTTTGGCAGCTATACACGACTACCGTTGAAGTGAACTTGCAGCTATTGTGGCCTTCTGTATCAATACAATGTACAATCCTCTTAATGGATTGCAGCTTCAACACCCTCTAAGATAAACCGTTTTTCACAAACATGCTTCAAACGATTGATTGATTGATGAGAAGATCTTGTTGGGAGGACGAAGAAGTTATTGTAAACGAGTGACAATGATTCACTGTAAAAGTCCAATAAGACCAATAAAAGGAATCAAATGTGCTTCTAAATTATCTTTTACAGAAACTGCTCTTGAAGTCGTAGTAAGTGTAACTGGTAAATGTGTTAACATCATTATTATTTATCTTACCGCACACATAAATGTCGCTTTCTGATTGGCTGAGCACTTTTCTATTATTTTCAATGTACCCCGCTGAATGCAAATCGATGGAAAGGGAGATAACTCTAAACCCGTGCTTCAAACAATTCAAAATTAACATAAAGGTGTTCGGTAAGATAAATACGTTGTTCACTGGTCACGAGGGGCCCATGGGTTGATGTACCCTCGATGTTTTTTTATGTTCCACTCGCCCTTCGTTCCACTCGCCACTCGCCCTTCAACCCATCCCCCCCGCGTGACCAGTGAACAACTTATAATATACACATGGCTACACACTTTTATCCGTTCTGTAGACGTTATCAGTGTAATATTTATGAAACATTATGCTTGCAGGTTTATTAAACCAACATGTTATTTATTACTGACTGATAGATAATTGCAGAAGACACACATATTTATCACGCAATAATTTTCCCGGATTCATAAGAAATCAATTTAACTGGAACAGCTTGCTAAAAACATCATTTATATTTCAATAATGAGAACATTTAACCTGAAATGTTTCATCGAACTGTAACATTGTATTTTATAAGAGAAATGGTTTTATTGATCAACTGTAGTGAAACTAGATACCTCGTAATTATAATGGTCTCAAGTCACCTGGCCCTATTTGCGACTGTATGTACATTGAATCCTCCATCATCCTAGGGATCTGGCTAGCCCAAAACGCTCTTAATGTCTTGTAGGTATCACTTGCGTTTCAAATGTGGATTGTTGAATCACTTCATCAGTGTGGCGATTCTCCTTCTAACTTACCAATGGAACCTCCAAAACATCCGCAGGTCTTGAGCCCCTTCTGCTATATACAGGAAGGTAAATATTCACAAAGTGTTCCACAGAAGTCCTATGCGATCCCATATCCAGTCCTCCTTTTCTGAGAAAGCTCTGTCAGCACATACCACAGACCTTCCATCGTATTGAAACACAAGCTCAAGTGTGGAATATTGCATGGAATAAATTCAACAGAAAAATAATCCAAAAACAACTAGCTAACAAACAGCGTTAATATTATACATGTTATTGTGTTTGTAACGATAAAGAACAGCCAGAATAATGCTCCGTCCAAGGACTTCCCAATGTCGTGCCATGATATCTCGTGTGACTTCATCTCCTCAACTTCTTTGACGAGTCTTTGACATTCGTGTGGAAGAACTTTTTCACTATTGTTGGGTTCACTTTCACCGTTTTCTTTGCACTTGCAGTCGTTCATATCCTCTGTGTAACGCCTGTGGGTGTGTATGATAATCCCTTCATTAAGCTGTGCATCTGCTTCTATCATCTTATCTCGGATGACTGACCGTCGATGCTGTCCACCAAGGATATACTTTACTGATGCCGGGATCGGCGTCTTGGGATCCTTATGATGAATGTTCAGCACTACCCCCGCACATAACACTGACAATGTACTCATTGAGAGGAGTGAAGTCAAATATACAGCTGAAATATATAAAATGACAATTGTCAATCGCACATCAACCGTAAATGCATACCTGAGTTAGTCAATATCGCTGACAATAGCAAGGCAGCGAGATGAAATGTTATATCTTAACATATTCTTGATACTACCTCGTGTGAGCTCAGAACTAGGATTCAGAAGAAAATATCAGCTTACAATACATATTTCCAGGTTATAGGTTATTGGATACATAATGACTACGTAATTGAAATAGAAAAGTCTAACATGTCATTTCATTTGTTTGAGGTGAGGTGAGGTGAAATTGGGTTTAACGTCGTGCTTGAGAATATTTCGCTCATATGACGACGTGCATGCGTGTGTATGTGTATGTGCGGCTGCTTGTACTAGCCCACACTTAAGCTGTTTTTATAGTGCTAGCTCACTGAGATACCACGCCGCAGTGAAGCATGAATACCCCACTCAGACACAGTATACTGACTCCGAGCCGACCAGTCCTTGTTGTACCCAGTAATGCCGAGCGCCACGCAGGGACCAACAAGTACCTTATTTTAACGTCTTTTGGTATAACGCGGTCGGGGATCGAACCCGCGACCATCCGCTCTCCGGGCGGACGCTCTAACCACTACACCACGGAGGCGGTCTCATTTGTTTGAGTGACATTCTAGAAGTTGGTGGTATAGAGATGACAAAATGTTAAGGATGATCAACGTTTCGGTACAGATTCTTATATCGTTTTCCCCCATATGCTTGAAAACGGTATACGAATCTATACCGAAACGTCGTTATTGTGAAAATAAATAAGTTGATAAGCCATAAAGTTGTGTCATCTCCATGTTTAACTTGTCGCAATGCCTGACGGGAGTTAAATCTCTCCAGTGCCCTGGGGTTCGAAGGCTGCCTTGTCCCAATTAAGGCCCTGGTGGTGTCAGCACCAGAGATTTAATACCCGTAGGTTTAACTGACGTAATGAGAGTATGACCGGCGATAGTTGCTGATGCGGCAAACAGCATCATCTTACGATCAGGTATCAAATTATACATTTTATACACTGAAATGTCGTTAATCTGCACAATGCAGTTACCATTAAATATTTTAAATTTGCATATTTCGGTGAGGACAAATCCCATCCGTAATACTGCAGTCGACCGAAACAATGGCTTTCAAATTAACGGGGTTTCCCTCTGTACAGCTGAGTCTCGTTAATTTGAAATCTCCGCTGTCCAGGAACCTGGTTAGAGTGAGTAAGAGTGAGTTTAGTTTTACGCCACACTCAGCAATATTCCAGCTAAATGGCGCCGGTCTGTAAATAACCGAGTCTGGACCAGGCAGGCCAGTGATCAACAGCATGGGCATCGATCTGCGCAATTGGGAACCGATGACATGTGTCAACCAAGTCAGAGAGTCTGACCACCCGATCCCGTCAGTCGCCTCTTACGACAAGCATGGGTTACTGAAGATCAATTCTAACCTGATCTTCACGGGTGACCCTGGTTAAAGTTGTTCTTTGGTGCCTCGTGTTGTATATACTTAAGAGCTGTCTTACATGGGTATCAAAAGTAGATTATGTGTCATCGCATTATAAAATAATGAGTCCCGATTACGTTTGTTGGTTTGATATTTAACGCTGGACGCAATATTCCAGCTATATGGCTGCTGACATACATACATACATACATGCATGCATACATACATACATCCATGCATCCATGCATGCATGCATGCATACATACATACATACATACATACATACATACATACATACATACACACACACACACACACACACACACACACATACATACATACATACATACATACATACATACATACATACATACATACATACATACATACATACATACATACATACATAAATACATACTTATCTTACATACTTATCTTACCTCGCACATAAATGTCACTTTCTGATTGGCTGAGCGCTCTTCTATTATTTTCAATGTACCCCGCTTACAAGCGAGTAACATTTCAATGTACCCCGCTTTCAATGGTAACTCATTTGGTACTTCGTGGTAGTCATTCTTTAGCTTGAATAACATTGAATCACGTATGATGTACGGAAATTACCGATGTTTTGCGATTGCAAATCGGTGGAAGGGAGATAACTCTAAATCTGTCTTTTCTTTTCAGCAAAATCTAACGATGGCTACAAAAAGATTTGTGCCCGTGCTTTAAACAATTCAAAATTAACATTAAGGTGTTCGGTAAGATAAATACGTTGTTCACTGGTCCCTCGGGGCCCGTGGGTTGATGTACCCTCGATGTTTGTTTATGTTAAACAAACATCGAGGGTACATCAACCCATGCCCCCCTCGTGACCAATGAACAAATTATATTATATTCATGTTTAAGAACTGCCTAACATTGGTATCTGGATGCCCGGCACTTCAGAGTGTGTCATCGTATTATGTACAACGTTCTTTGACGTAGATAGTTCACTAATCACGTTTGGCCGTCAGTGACATATTACAAATATAGCTCAGATACTGCAGACAGACATCAAACATAACAACACTGAAGCATAAGCATAAGTTGTTTATACGTACCCAGAAGTGACAAACTTTCCGATGTCTTTGGCATAACGTCACTTATTATCCCCAGGTAGACGGTAAACGACAGCAGCACGGTGACGGCCAACGCCATACGTTCTCCGCAATCAGCAGGTAAAATGAATACCAGTACATTCAGCAGGGACAACATTACCACTGGGATAATCGTATTCAATATATAGAAGGTCCTCTTCCTACGGAGGTGCACTTGGAATGTAACGCCAGTATGTTCTGTACCATTACGGTACGTCGATGGGTATGCATAGCGTTCTGCTCTTGTATTAGTGATATCCCATTCGCCATTTGGCAGGGTAGCTTCAAGGTGAATTTCATCGTGACCTGGGTCTACCCGTAGTGTTCTGTTTGTATGCATCCAAGTCAAGAATCGAATATCACAAATTTGAGAGTCGAATGGGTATTTTCCTATATTAACCGCACAGCTTGTTTCAACAACGATTCCGGGCTCCCAGACTATGAGGCCATCACGGTGGACGCTTATCAGCATGGCATCGTTCCCAAGTTCACGGTAATTCTGTGCTCTGGAATGATATAAAAGGCTTCAATCTAATACATGATTTAAAAATGCTTTCTATCACTTTTTTACATGATATCACTGTACAAAGGACAGTTTTAGTGAAGAATGAGGACTATTCTAATGTGGTTGTCAAGCATCGCTTAGACGAAACGTCGCCTATACTGAATAAAGAAGTTGTATATCCATAAAGATATTCCTCATTCTTCATCTACTCAACTTCTAGAATGCCAATCAAAGAAGACAGTTTTAGTGTGATCATTCTGTGAGAGAATACTTCAATATATTCATCGATTTACAGCAATAGAAATTACCTTTTTCGTTTGCATTCATACAAAACATGTGGCTACTTTCTTTAACACTTCAGTCTATTACTATTTTGTAAATGGTTAAAAATCGGCATTTTTTTTAATTGGATAAATGTAAATAGATTTAAACTTTCGAAAGGCTATTCACAAAATGCAGACTGGTTTGATATATCGATGCAACCTGGTCTCAAATTCCCAAAGCTGAAATTTATCAGCAATATCAATATGTAACATTTGAGACATGACTGGAAATACGTGACATTATCATGAAGATATATAACGCGGGATAATGGATGTGTATATTGGAGACATGAACGTATTATGGTTTTCGTAAACTATATCGGGACATAATCCAGGACAAATTACTTCTTTGGCATTTGTGCTTAACGATCATAATATATCATTCTTCCATCGCTTATACCAACGTGTATTAATAGAGCTATGGCGTGTACCCATAATGCAGTCGTGATGCAGTAACATGAGTTGCTTGAGCTTCACTAAAACTTCCAAATATCTTAATCACTAATATATTTTTATAAACTGACTTTAATGCATGAAATATTTGTAGGAAATGTACGCAGTATGAATCTAATTATACCGTGTGCCGTACTGTGTATGTATGTATGTATGTATGTATGTACAAAAGTTCAAAAGGCAGATTAGTGATTTTACGGAAATCACTGTCTGTGCTAATCAGACTGGAACTGATAAGGTGCCCCTATTAGTGATAGGGAAATCATTAGGTAAACAAATGCTTAGGTGGAGGAATTAGGACTGGATCATCTTTTTTTCTACCCTCATAGACATACCTATGTCTCGAATACATCGATAAGTCGAATGTATTACTTGGTCCCCAGCGATTCGACTCATCGGGATTTGACTGTATGTATGTATGTATGTATGTATGTATGTATGTATGTCTGTCTGTCTGTCTGTCTGTCTGTCTGTCTGTCTGTCTGTCTGTCTGTCTGTATGTATGTATGGTATGTATGTATGTATGTATGTATGTATGTATGTATGTATGTATGTATGTGTTTGTGTCATTTGTTCCTTATCCATTTGTTTTTTCTCAATGTAATATGTTTAAATGTAAATATATATCATTACTCCGTCGCGGATGCCAACGTTGATACGTACAAAGTAACATAGTGACATAGTCTACTTATGGATTTAATGTCATTGGAACAAGGACCTTTTATGAGTCAACTGTATGTACAAGGACATTATATATGTCAAAAGACAAGGGAGTTATCTATGTCAACTATTTGGAAAGGAGGTTTTTACATATGGGAAATTCATATATGTTAAGTATAAATGCATTCTATATATGTCAGTAGACAAGGAAGTTATATTAGTCAACTTTATGGACCAAGAAGTTATACATGTCAACTGGATGGACAAGGAAGTTATACATGTCAACTGGAAGGACAAGGAAGTTACAAATATCACTGGACGCAGCAAGGTCAGGACAAGGAGAATGTATTTGTGTCAAGGACAAGAAAGTTATATATGTAAACGGTCAAGGATATTATATTTGTCATCAAACAAGGAGGTGATATATGTCCAGTGTACGGACAATTACGTTATATAAGTCATGGGACAGATAGGTTTTTTATGTCTTGGACACAAAATGTATATATGTCATGAACAAGGAAGTAATAACATATATCTTGACGGACATGAGAGTTATATATGTGAACTCTGTGGATGAGAATGTTGTACATATGAACGGACATCGACAATACATTTACATATGTAAACGGAAGTATACAAGGCAGTAACATAGATAAATAGTCAAGAACTTTGTATCTTTCAACTGTCAGCGTGAAAGGACGTTACTAATGTCAACTGTTAGGGTTGAATTTCAGTTTCACAGATATTTCAAACTTTATATCGGCATACAAGAATTGAAATTAAGTTTTCATATGTATTGTACGCAGAACACACACACATCTTTTCCCTAGAGCACATACACCAGATTTCTACTGTGGATGTTTAAACAATCTCAAATATTTGGTACATGTATAAACACATTTCAAGGATGTGGACTCGAAGCTTGAAGCTGTATTAGTCCATCTAGCACCGAAGTTATGCGTGCTCTTGTCCGAATCAAGAATGTACTCCTACGACAAGCTATTTATAACAAGCCATGATATGACCAAAACACTGTGGCTTCAAATAAATTATATAAGTTCAAAATGTTGCTTAATGCAACTAATTCACTTATTAAAGGGAGCCTTAATATGGAATTATGTAGAGATTCATTTATACACCTTATACTAAAGAGATACAAGCTAACTGATACTATTGAAAGTGTTATGTATGTAAGTATGTGTGTATAACTAGTCATGATTACCAATCTCTGCAATGTTTCTATACACGGTAATAGTTATCACTTAGTCATCTATGTAAACTAGAACATTTACTTTTAACACAAGCATGGGTTTATGTTTAGTTTTGCAGCCAGTTGAACGTGCACAATTAAGTATATTCTTTTTGAAAATGAAGCCGATATTTTCTTTTATGGCATCATAAAATGGCATCATGGTGAATCGTGTACCAATTTCTTGAATGAATACATAAATGGTAATATTTATCACCTATTCATATATGTAAACGTGAGTATGTACTTTTAACACAAGAATGGGTTTATTTATAGTTTTGCGTGTAATTAAACATATTTCTGTGAAAATGTTGCCGTTATTCTATAACGTAAAATGGAATCATAGTGAATCGTGTACGGAATCTTAAGATGCAATTATGTGAGCAAATCCTCGGCTTCATCGCATCCATGTTTATGACAGTGGGGCTTTCCGTGACTCTACATAGTGTAGACTGGTCATATTAATGGCTCACTGATGCCATTGCGGCAATGAATTATTGTCCGCTGGACGTAATGTGGTTGCATCCATAACAAGACTGTATAGAACAACGGGAAATGACGACCCTACAAACGGAAGCAATGACCCAGTATTCAATAGACGGTAATTATACAATGGTCTTTCTAGTGGTCGAGACCATTAACTGACCAATTCATTCCAGCGGTCATTGGTGTCACTTTGACCACAATAACAAAGGCCAGCCATTATCTACTTGCGGCACAAGCGAATGCAATTTACACTCTGTCTTAATTACTGATTTCACGAGGTAGTAATTTTTGTCGAATGGACTGTTTCGTAATCTATAGAAATGGCGTGTGCCAAAATACCAGACATTTTACAAATCGGTTGACTCATGTCTATGTTCTGCGATTGTTTTGCTCCGTTATCTGGACTCCATGTCCGGCAATAAATGGCAAGTAATTCATTTCAATTACACTTAATGGTCACCATTACGACTCTATTTACATACAACACTATGAGTGTATTTCATAACGCTTTGGGCTGAATATTATTTTGATATGCGACCAATTATTTAGTAATTTATATCGACGCGCATGGGAATTTTAACCAAATCAGCCAATCTCAGCGTTGTATAAGAAGTGTCATGATAGTGTCCTTTGACCTTTCAGTAGACTGTATGTCTAACGAACTTATTGATTCGATATTACCTGATAATCCATTAAGCTTACAAACTTAACCTGCAAAAGAAATACTGGTCTGGCCTTACATATTTTAACCGGTAGTTAGTGACACAGCATTTTTAGAAACATTATGGATACATCTCTAAATGATTCATTTGAAAGTGTGACAGATTATTTGTACACCGTATCACTATCTACATTTATATACAGTCGAACCCCTTGTCTGGAACTCGGATGTGTCGAACTTATGACAATATGTGTGTCACGTTTTTCAGTCGAACCCCTTGTCTGGAACTCGGATGTGTCGAATTTACGACAATATGTTCGTCACTATTAAAATAGGGATGTGTATACCCGGATGTCCTATTTCACTGTTTCGGACTACATTTGTACACACATATATATAAAACCCAACATAAACACCACAAACAAAGAAAACAAACAAAATAAAAATAATAAGTGAAATAAACAACACTCCTCCCTCCCGTCCCCAACCGCACGCACACACCCACAATGACGCATGCAAGTGACTTCTTTAGTTCTTATTCATGACCGCGATCACGTTTCATCTCACCTGACTCTCGACACGCGCCTGTATACGTAGAAAACGTTCTGTCAAAGGCTACGAAAACCATGCAATATATATATAAAATTAATAAAAACTACATTTGTTTCAGTGACAGAGACACACGCTTGCGTTTAATGTCTTTGAACGGATTATAGAAGTTGTATGCCTAAAAGGTGTAAATTTATGGATGTCAACTTCTTTATTATGAGGAAGAGAGGGTACGTAAGCCCCAAAACTTTCAAAGTAAAATATAAATTATCACATTTTAAACGTAGTATTTTTGTTATTTTAACTGTTGGCTAAATTTTCCTACAATCGCCAGCGGCTGAAGGGATGGTGTAAACCCAGCTAGGGTCCATGCAGATAGCAAAAGTAATGTAAGTCCCCATGGTTCCTAGTATGGTGATCTACCTTCAGTTGTTGGCCCATTTTTATATTGTATTGTCCAAATATAATTCTACTTTTAAAGATATATGCTAACTAGTTTTACCTAAATTGTGATAACCTAGTAATTTTACTGTCCTTCGTTGACAGGGTTTTATATATTATATGTATGCATTATGAATTTAGAATTAGTTTTAGTCACAATATGGCTGAAATATTGCCGATGTGACTTTAAATTTTAACTCACTCACTCACTCACTATTATGAGGAACACTAAGTTTCGGAGTATATTCTTACTGCTTCATCATTCACCTGATGGAGGAGTAAGAATATACTCCTGTTCCTCATAACAAAGAAGTTGACGTTAATAAATTTTGCCCTTTCATTTGTGTTGTTTATTTTTAATATCTCCACAGTCCAGTAGGTCCGATGAACAAGAAGGTATTGTTATCAGCCATACTGTGTTGTACCTATAGTGAATGAATAACGTTGCGTTAAGCTTCTTAAGATATATTGCAGCATGGTTCCAAGGTAGGCTTGTTCGTTTGGATCCATGCAATCGGACGGAGGAACATGTGGCAACTGTTTTGTGAAGGGGGACGTAATCCATTTTGTTATGAGAGTAAAATAGAAAATACTTATTTCTTAATCGATACATGTTTACAATATAAATAATTTCATGCACATTTAAACTGTGTGTCCTATCGTATTTTTGCGATGCTTGACACATCGGCGTGTAGTGACGCCCACAGTGAGCAGGATACTTACGTGTTCTCTACAAATAAATCTGGAAGCCAGACTTCTCTCTGGAACACGATGACTTCATCAATGCCACCATAGTCAGTCTCGTTCCAGGTAAGGAACTGGTCTAGCCATTCCTGTAAGTAGACATAAGGTAGTAAATGCAACACAACGCATGTTAAGATTTATCTATTAATGTTCAAAATTTCATTGTTTCAACTAGATAAGAAACCAGTATTGTACAGCTTTTACGTTTTCACATGGCGTGTCAGTCTGATGTGGGGCTGGAAGTGTGGAGTGTTGCAGGTATACAATTTGGATCAATATCAAAGAGTATGGTGCTCACAAACGCATAATCAGCTCAACCCGGGATTCAAACCCAGAGGTCTCTGTGGTTACCAAGGAACGTAACCAACAGAACGAATGGCAGCCCCTTAGACAAGTGGCCACCCCTGTCCATAAGTACAATAGCTCAGTGCCATAGTTACAAAGTTTGGAAAGTCTTCATAAGCCAATGCAAAAAAATATATAAAATAATAACTCAAGTCATCAATCAGGTTTACGAGCTGAAAGAAAACAATCTCCAGTAAATAACGGATTGACAAACAGAAGTCTATCCTTGAGTTAAAACTAATTCCATTTCTGTCATTCCAGGGGTCTCTGGCGAAACCTTGATATCACGATTCCAATTTTAGATTTATTGTTGAAAAGGCTTGAAGCTATCTTCCTCCTCCGTCGTACTGGGTTACACCAAGATGCTTCTTCTAAACGTTTCTCACAAGTAGCAGAAATATTAAGAAAATTACAATTGCGCCTCACTTTCGGGAGAGAGTCATACATCACGGAACGACACTGTCTTGCACGTAAATCAAATAGTCTGGAGCAGCGTCCTCCAAATGTTTCCCATAAACAAGTTTTTGTCTTCGCTATTATTTCGCCGCTCGATGGTAACTGTCTCGGATAACAGACATTGTGTCTTCTAATACTTTATACCTTATATTGACATGTTTTAATCGAATTAGGCGAGTGATAGATTCCTTCAAAGCCTGATGTGTTCATAGAATAGGATATTCCTGAATCATTACTTACGTATAGTATTATTAATGTTTAAGATGGATAACATGCTTAAAGATCAACATAGAAATGGCATTGTTGAAATATTGATATATTTCGACCTTTCTATAACCTGCGTTGTGTGTTATGAGCCACTAAAATATATATAAAATATTTTTATATATTATATGTGATTGACAGTTGGAAGAGTAGGTTTTAGCAAACTTTCTGAGCCATTGAACATAATAAGACTTAGGTCAGACTGGTTTTCATTTGAATGACCTTCAAAAGAGTCCGTTTTGAAATTTGATGTTTGAAATAATCATTGATAGAAAACAAATGTGAACTTTTCAATGTGTACAAGAAGGTTTGACAAAATCTGATTTGTTTCGGAAAGACAGCACGATCGTTTTATGACAAAATTATCTTGGGCCTCTGAATTGCACAAATAAGCAGATATTTTTTAAGCGTCAAAATACACGTTTTCTACTCATTCTAGCCCAAGCTTTGTGCGTGGTTTTGTCATCAAACATATTGTCATTAAACTAAAATGAAGAATAACAGATGGGAGGTTGTTAGTCTTGAACATGACCGATAATTTCTCATGACTTTAAAATACATTTCAGTTGACCAAAACTTGTTTTCATCATGCATGGCCTAGGCCTGTAGGCGATGTTATCAAGAATTTAATGATAGCTCCGTTAGAAGAATGGACGCTGCCATTCTGATATACCATGAAAAGCCGTGGTTATCAGAAAACTACTTAAGTCGATGTCGTTCTACAAAATCACCATAACGACACAACGATGTTGTCGACCATCACGGTGAACTGACGAGGCTGTAAATCCTATCCAGATTGACATTGTGAAGGATTGGTATGTGATTTGCAAAAATAATGAAATGTTTTTTCTTCCCAATTAGCAATACCTGGCGATGAGATTATACGGGTGTGTCGAATCCATATCGAACAACACATAAATAGGATATATTAGGATACTGAGGAAAAAGCCCAACATTAATCGAGTTTTTAAGCAAGGAGTATACATCCATTCGCTAACGCTAACACTATACCAACGGCAAGAAGAAATTGCCTTCGGGGTGGCACATGTTCACGAATTTCAATCTTAAACTTTTCTTGAGGACAGTACCAATTTGCACAGAGAACAGTTGACAGTTATTGACTTTTGGAAAAGGGGACTATATATCCATGGTGCCAAAGGCGGAGGGAGGAATTAATTGAGGAGCGACTCAAGGTGCCACTAAGAGACGTGACTAAAACAATAACCAATGTCCTTCCTCAGAGTCCTCAGGGTGCATGGAGCTGTCTGTTATAATTCGAGGATGGACTGAAGAATTTGTGGGGGAGTCCTCAGGAAAGGTCCTCACAATCAATAGTCTCCGGGGAGTACGTCTGTGGGTTGAAGATCCTATTGTTCTCAGCCAGTTAGCGATTAAGTAATTCTGTTTGGTCTGAGAGTAATGGGGTGAATTTGTTACAAGTTGTTTATTTTATGAATAGAGTCAACACGCCAGAAGGTGGGCGGAGTTGTCTTCTTGAAAGACACTGTTGTTCAGATTGAGTGTCTGGCTTACCCTCTGAAATAGGTACATCACAAGTTGCCATCATGTTTGTCGCTAGCGTCAAGACTTGTCGAGTCCACCATTCTGTAAAAGCTGATGTAAGATCGTTGTCGGACCTTTATGCCCTGAATGTCGAGCAATATTCCAGAGTCAGACTTAGGTGGCAACAGTTCCCAACTTTTAACAAGTCAAATCGAATGCTCTGTCGGCAGAGATTTCATACGTTATACGACGTAAAGGTTGTTTGTTCAGGACATGCAATACCATAGTAAACGTTCTTGGTAGAGGTGTGACTATTTGACGTATATCTGAACTTATTCCCTATTTTGACGTGTGCCTCATGTTCGCTTGTTATTGGAGATGAACTGTTGACAAGGTTTGAATGTGTTTGTGACGGATGTCCTAACCTTAACGAGAACACCTTGTATACCTTTACAGCGATTCGTAGACGCAGGTGTATGATGCAGTCAGAACAAGGACTTTTGTCATGTTTTTTAATTGTCTGTTTAGATTGAAACCTCTCAAGGCCGTTCACTGCTAATCCGGACACCTGTTCCTGGCGATTACTGCTGTAAACAATGATATGCACACAATGTCATTGCTCCATAATGACACCTGTTGGGCTTAAATCTTTGTAGTGATCCAGCGAAGCAGTATCGTACAGTAGGGGTTGTACCATGGCCCCCGTTTATTGAATACATGTATTTCTTAGGATTATGTTTTATGAAATATGTTTGACACTTTTAAGTTAACGCATCACATTCTCAGGTTTGGTCATAGGTCGCTAAGTATCTGGACTATGTTGGTTTACACGATTACAGTCGAAAATATATTTTACAAAACAATTTACTGTTGTATTAAAACGACAAGGAGTATACTCCTCTATTACGTGCCGATTCAGAAGAAACATCTTTTAACAAAACATCAATATCCACAATTGGTATATGATGTATTCCTGTGGAAGACAAAACAATGTACTGCTATACTGAAACGTTAATGACAAGGTAATATACGTCCTCTAATACATGCCGATTGAGTAGAAATAGCCACTAACAAAATATCAGTATCAAAAAATATATTATGATGTATTCATGTGGAGGGCAATATAAAACTGGTAGAATGTACTTCGAATCTGCAAAGCAACGTCTTCTTTCATCATCAAACGAAGGACAACGACATGCAGTGATGTTTTTCTTTAAGGACCAGGAAGTTTTTGACGGACAAAAAGAAACAAAATAAAAACGACGATTATAAAGGAGGAAGTCGTTTATTTGAAGGAGCAAAAGATTGAGTGTTTCAACTTACGGCACTCACATTAACGTATGCTAATGATGATAATTTTCTGAACAGTGCCTACCCCCTGTAATTACCGGGATCAAGGAGCAATCTCAAGTACAGCTAGAGCGCAGTATCTACAATAATGGCTGGATAAACACCGAGGACCATCTTCACATAGTTGAGTCACAATGATGGTCCTTGGAAAGTGGAGTACGATTTCTTCAGGTATCAATCCAGTATGAAAAGTCACTTTCGTGATCTGCTCTAAATATTTTATTTGGTAGCTATAGGATAACAATAGTTTTTATTTTCCTTACTTGATAAGAATTGTTTCGTGTTAAATAAGATATCCTTTTCATGCTTATTTAGTGAAAACTGAGGAATATGTTTGCCGTGGACATATGATCTAGCCCTGTAAATATCAAAAATATAAAAGTGCTAGAAAGAACCAGTGGTTGATGTCATGAGCACGCCATCAGGGATGACACAAAACGAAACAAGTCACAGAGTCGACCTTCTGATCCATGCATTCGTCTGATAGGACCTATCCCAACGAGTATTAAAACAGGCAGCGGGATTTGAAGGGGATGAAGTAAATCACATCATGTTGTTAGGGAGAAAATCCGTGTTGGCTAGCCATAACGGGGATGCTGATTAGATGTGTCTTCAGAATGAATATGGACAGCTCGTGTGTGGGCTTACTTTCTGTTTTAACAGTATCGACCCTGTTAGGATCCAGCGGTTCAGTGTAGATTTCTAAGACTCATGCTTAGATGCCGATCAGGATCACAGCCTGCAGGAACTCAGGGAAACCTTCGAAACGTTCTATCGTAGGCATAGGGGACTTTTTCTAAATTTTAGTTTCCAATGAAAAATATTGTGTCTCATGGAATTAGCTAGTTTGACTTTTGGTATGTGTGCATTTTCCAGTCGCACAATTGACTTGCCTTTGCATATAATTGTAACGGTACCACCAATAGTGCTGAATACAATACGCATTTCGCAAATACCTCCTATCGACAGTATTTCATTTTGAATGAAAGCGAATCATGGAGCGAATCGAACACTCTGCGTTTACGAAATATTGCATTAATTGTCATGTATGTGTTGTAATTTGCCCCAAACAGTCCACGCAGATCGTAAAATGCAACTAAATGGACTTGGTGATCAGATTTGGGAATTCCTTGTAACGTGTAAACGAAATGGATCGTTTTGATATCATCAATCACTCGTTTAATTGATCCTGAACCGAATCGTGCTGCTTACAAGCGGTATGAAATATTGCTACGTGCAGCGTTAACGATCATACTTACATATAAACTCACGAAAGGAACAAATAAATATACACCCACCCACAAAGGATTAAAATGTATACATATCTATATTGGTGATTAATTAATATATTTGTTCAGTGACATAGCTGTATTCTGTTGCTCAATATCTGTCATCGCTGAGGCAATCTCAATCCTTAAATATATATCGAATTCAATTACATGTCACGGTTAATTTTCAGAGCTTTCATTCAGAGATCTTATCACAGGGCTGGCTGTGGATTTACTAACTGAAAATATTGCATGTTTATTTGCAATAACTGTGATACTGTATGCACTTATCACCGTGCAACTTAAAACACAATCATTATTGATGAGAGTAAGACATCATTCACAACAGACATATATTGATATACCATAGATATTATATTTAGTGATTCATACTATATTTGTCTGAAATAGTTTTTTTATATTTTCCCTAAAAATATTAATACTGGAAGTATTTTCCTATTCAAACAGAATTATTCCGTTGTTTAATAATGATAATATGTGCATTTATATTGCGTCAAACGCCATAAACTAGGTGAATGCTCATAGCGCTAACAATCAAAGCACATTGTTACCCCGGATAACCCAAGCTGCCCGTGAGGCGCTAGAAGGTTAATAGTCACATGACTTATCCCACCGGGTACCCATTTTCTGCTGGGTGAACAGATCTATGTATGGATTTTTTCACCCTGTAAATGCGTGCAATAAGATCTATTATTGTCCAGTCAAAATAGATCGGTAACCGTCAGAAACTGCATCACTTCGGGTTTACTCCCACAATAAGCCGATGCATCTTAATGTGAATATAATTGAAAATGGCGTTTTAGTCTACTCGCTCACACTCGTAAGAAAGTGTTTATCTTTTCGCGAATCCAGACGAATATTCCAGTTTCACTCGTCGCTTTCATTCGTAAATGTATCTACATTGTCAGGGCCCTTGAGCAAGGAACAAGATAAGCCAACTATTCTCTTTGTGAAATTCAAACTGATGAAATATATATGAAATTAATGTCATAACGCATAGGATGCACATGTACTGAATGTGTTTCCGAACATCAAAGAAACTGTTTCCTTTATCCTTCCGTTTCATTTGTTGGACACGTCGTGGATCTGACGCAATGGCGTGATGGATAGACACGCATCAGTAGAATTACTTTTGTGTTTTGAAATGCGAATATTACACATTGGTACTCAAGGACATTAATGGAACAGTCCAGAGGCTCATTGTGGGATGAAACAAACTTCTGTCAGTTGTTAGACAGACCCTCGTCCCCTAAAAAACATTATCGTGATGATTCATAAAGTTGGTACCTCGCCAGCAGGTTCGACCATGTCAAGTTGACCAGTTTAACTCTATCTTTTTGTTGTTAGTGCGTGAGTGGGTGAGTGAGTGAGTGTGGTATAACGCCGCTTTTATCAATATTCCTTTTATATCACAACGGGGGACAGCAGAAATTAGCTTCCCACATTGTACCCAAGGTGGAATCGAACCTGGGTCTTCGGCCTGACAAGCGAACGGGTCAACCACAAGGCTACCGCACAAACTCTGTTGTAAGGCTATATTGTTGATATTTCTTACTGTCAGGGTAAAAATGACGATTTTATTTGTTATTTGTATTGATTTGTGTTGTGAATACAATGAAATGTTGAACCAGATAGTTTCTGATGAAAAACTATCCCCACCAAAGAGCTAATTGAATATTATCTTACATGGATCTTTTAAAGTGCTCCCAGAAGTAGATACTGATGGTTGTTGGTATATTTAAATTGCATGCAATATTGTATTTATATACACAAAGACCTTAATTAAGCACCCCTGTATTTTTGCAATGGTAGGTTTTCAACACGTACTTATCGTGGTGTCCACCATTGAAAAACATGAGGTTTTCTGAACCATGTGATCCTTTGACTCATCAAAAGACGACAACATGATTGGGATCCATGTTGATTTTATGATGATAATTGCCAAAAAACCATATGTATGGCCCTGGAATGTTTAATGTTGAATTTATTGGTGAATGTGAACATTCAAAATGTCACTTTCTGTGTCTTACACGATTCAAGGTCAATACCGAGTATAACCTCCATGTGACTGTATAACAGTCAGCATGCTCCTCCTCATATCCCTGCCTGCCTCCTGATACTCTGAAAGGGCAGTCCACGCCATTCCTCGTGTAAAGCAGATTCCAGTTGGGCCAGGTTCTGTACAGGAGGATACCTTTGTTACAAATGACGACGACCAATCATGTCCCAGATTTGCTCCAAGGGTTACGATTGGGGCTCATTCAATCGTGAGATATGTCGGGGGGTGCTTATCTAAGTTCTGTGTATATATTTCGCTGAGAGGTTTTAACTTTTCATATTCACCAGATTTGAGAGAGAGAGATGATGTTCAACGATATTTCCATTTTTACTAGTAACATATGTTCTTGTGTCTATTCAGATGAAAGTATGACGCGCACATGCGTGTGTTTGTGTGGGACAGGATGCTCTCACCTGGTATCATGCCTATTTGATAGTGATTCATGTACACATGGTCACAATATAGTTGGAATCCGAAAATTGACACAAAAATTAGTTCAGTTTCCGTATGACAATAGATTTTTTGTCGGTTTTATGTTTACTTCAAAGCTTAAAGAACACGTTGTATGCTTGTTGGAGTGAGTGAGTTATATTCAACAATATCTCAGCCATATCGTGACGAAAACAGTCCATACAATAAAAAGTGGAAACATTTTGAAGATTTAAACCTGTCGACGATGGACAGTAAAAAGACTAGAGAATCACAGATATAAATATAAAACTAGCGAGCAAAGTTAAAATATTCTAATCAAAGAAGACAATACAATATAAAATACCGGCTATAGATCGCCAACAACTGAAGGTAGATCACCATACTAGGGCCCATGGATGCTTGTTGGAACAGTACTTAGACAGTATATACATACTAACTCTATCATTTGAAAATCGTACTTACTATTTTTAACCATCCACTTGCTGTAAGCACTTGATTTTTCATATCCTGAAAATGTAAAGGGAATGTACAGTCATTTGTTTATGCATAAATACAAGGGGAACACACTGGTTGCTCAGGCGTGAAAGGGCAATGAACTTTAAGGCAGTAGTGAGTGAGTGAGTTAAAATTTAACGTCACCTCGGCAATATTTCAGCCATATAGTGACGAGACATGTTTTACAAAGGCAGTAGTGCATATAGACTACCATGCAAATACAATGGTAACTCTACCGCTCACGGGTACGTTGTCCTTAATAACATCTGTCCAGATTAGGGAGTCCGGTAATGACGAGGGTACGGGATACCGAGAGATCACCGTTTCAACACATTCATTATGGCCGCCGATCTGTATTCAGAATAATTAACTTTTACTGAGATAGAGTTTTATTTTTAAAAAAGCCAAACAAACAAAACACACCCATGTTTCTAGAATTTGAAAAGGAGATACCTGTGCTGGATTCAGTTTGGATGGATGCGCTTCTGATATTCTGTAACGGGGAGGCATTACGAAAACCATTCTCTTGGTCAAAACTAATGCATAAAAGTATAATTAATGGACATTTTTTTAATGTTTAACCTCTGTGGTAAAAACATTAAGCTAAATGAAAAATATGTCTTGTATTGGAGTTTTTTTGAGCTAATAGTTAAATATGTTCGCAACGACTTCTTTTCTTCACAATCTATCACACAACAATGTCACTCCCACTCCCCTTTACTGTAAGCTATACTTGTCTTGTGGTAAAATTGAATTGCTCACATTACTGTAAAAACAACGCCATATCCTAATATATACGGTTTTACTTGTATGATCTGGGACTGCGCAGCTTCATCTTACAAACAGAATTAAATTGATACATGATCATCGGAGTAACGTCTTTAAATGACATTTAGAAGTGATACACATGAAATGGAAATTTATGGATTTCAATTTATATGTAATAAGAATAACGCGTTTTGGAGTGTGTTTTTACTCCTACATCAGGTGAATGACAGCTTAGAAGAAGATAGGCTATTATGTGTATGTGAGGTGGGTGTTTTGTTTGTGTGTTTAAAGCAGCACTCAGCAATATTCCAGCTATATTGCCTCCGTCTGTAAATGATCGAGTCTGGGCCAGACAATCCAGTGACCAACAAGCATAAGCATCCATCTACACAATTGGAATACGATGGCATATTTGAACCTAGTCAGCTAGTCTGACCACCCAATCACGTTAGTCGCCTAGTAACACGCATGGGTTACTGAAGACCAATTTTAGCCCGGATCTTCACTGGTCCAAAAGAAGTAGCTCAACTCCACAATGCCATACCAGCAAACATCCGTTACATGCACTAATAGAGACTGACTGAAAACATACATTTTCATTTCAATATGAAGAGCAGTGAATACCAAAACGTGTTGTGTCTACGTTATTGGTGACAGATTGTCCTCGTTTATAAATTGATATGACGTGGTCAATACAATTTGTTATCGCATTAACTCCTGTTGAAACTAGGTATTATTGTCAGTGTTGACATTTTCAAGATGATTTCGAGAACGATGTCACCACTGGTCAATATTGAAGGCAAAATATTCTCACTCAGCATCACTAGTTGACACGGTAATATCTCCCTCATAGTTGCAATTTGAAATCATCACGGAAAATCCACAAAAGTTTCCCTGACCATGGCACCTCAATCATAAACGCTTTACATGCATAGAATAATTCGCCATAAATTGCGCTGGTGCGAATAGAAGCAGAAAAATATATTAAGGGAACAAGGATGGCTGGTTTTGGTGACGTTTGTTTTGAATGATGTGGAATCATCAGCAGTGACAGAAACGATTTACGGTAATGTAAAAACACGGGGAGAAAGCCGGTTCTATGAATTATCAATCGGATAGCCATTAATCTGAGACAAGATGCCAAGCTTACCAATTCGTGGATCATAATGAGAAAAAAGTCCATATGAACTTGGGCTGATTCGCTTTGGTTATGAACAGGCACAATTCCACGACTATAATTTGAGAATATATCCCTCCTGAGTCGCACCATATCCTGTGCTGTCGCCGTGGAACCTGTTAAAGAGACAGAAAGTGACATTAGATACGGAGAGGTACAAGAACGGTTTCCAAGGGCAATGCCATCTTTATAAATCGCACCTAAGCATCGCCCTAAACGATACGTTTGGCATGCCGGTGGTGCTTATCGCATATCTGAAATGTCTTTTTAATAAAGGTTCTTTACTTAAATTGTGGTTTATGCAGTTTTAACGCTTCTCATTTACTGACTGAAGAGGAACTGTCGCCATGAAACGTGTATCAATTCCAGTGTTGTCCGGTAACATCATGCATTACGGTGACTGCGTTTATAACGTACTCGCACATAACGACATTTTTCTTTTTGTGTCCATGCTATTGAAACTGCGTGTAACGAAGTACCGTTATATAGAAGTTCAATTATGATTTGTTTTCGGTTACTGTATGAAGTACTTTGTAAACTTTTGAAATAATGGTGTTTAGGTCTCACTTTCATAACAGCGAACAGTCCCCTCTGGCGTGTGTGTTTGGGTGGAGGGGTGGGGAGGGGGTACGGGTAGGGGGATGCATAACTGACGATTTAGATATTAAATTGTACTTATCAGTACTGCTTCATAGTACTGTACGTGAATTCTCTCAAGAAGCACACTGGGACGCTATCATGAACCCACACCGGTTTGAAAGAACGACAAACCATTTACTTTGATAAACATACTAGGTAACTGTTTATGTATAGTAAATACTGTTTCCGTTTCCGTCAATATTTTTTCTGAGTTTGGAAACATGGTCTTACTCTGATAAAAATCCAGACGATTTTCGGATTTCAAATCTCAAACAAACTGTCACACTGTCACAATGCAGTGTCTGTTTGGTAATTGAGAAGACTCCATTTGAATTTATACATTTGAATCCATTTCACTGCGGTCAGAAAATAATGTGAGCGTGTAAACAAGTAACTGAGCGTAGTATTAAGTATGACACATGATCATCTGTGTCACCTTTCGTTGGTTCATACCTCACACATCAGCTCACGGAGACTAACTGGGAGTCACTGGTAAGATCTGAGCATTGGAGCTCTCTAACAGCGAAATCGTTTGTTGTGGACATTATAAAATTGTCTTAAAAGGTACATCCACGCTTTAACCAGTTGAGGAGACTTTTAGGCTGTAAAAGGATTTTGTTAAGAAAGTTACCAAGTCTGACCTTCTGACAAGCAATAAGTTTGAGGCCCTGTTTATTACAATATGGGTATGAACATGTAATTGTTGGGAATCGTTGGGAACGTAATCAAGAGTGAGTATGCTTCAGCTCATTAGTTTTTTTATATTTAATGCCAGGGTCAGACACTTTCTAGCTATATGACGGTGATCTGTAAATACTCGAGTCTGAGACAACCGAACCAGTGATTGGCATAGATATATTCAATAAGTTCATATGCAGCAACCAAATCATTGTGTCCTCTTGTGACAAGCATGGGTAACTGAAGACCAATTTTTAACCGGATCTCCACAGGTATGTGCGACGGTGAACCGTTGAGAACGTGACCATAAATGGATACAGCTGAAATATTTTCTTGGTCACTTCAAGTTAAAACCATGTAAACTGGACCACTGAGAACAAACTGCATTGCAGTCATAAGCACGCAACAAAATGATTTCAGTGAACTATTTAAAACCTGAAACAAACGTACGTCGCAGACATGGGTCATATTATTGGCAGTTGATCAGGTTAACTTGACACTGGGCTAAATATATTTCCTTTGGTTTTTCTCCGCAGATTCAGGCAAGAAGACTCCCCAAAGCTACAGGCAAAATCTAATGAAGACATGATGCTCCACCAGAAAGAATCTCCTACCTGTGCCAGAACACAATTCACTTATACGTGAACAGGGATCATGATTAGCTTCGACCGAGCGCAGGGTGATGTGGGTCAATGATTATATATCTGTCCTGTCTAACTGCGTCCCTACGTTGGGCAATGTCTGTAGAAGTTATATGAAAACCGCCCGGGACAGCCATCGGAGGCAATTGCAGTCTTGTTGAATGTCGAATCTAATGTATGACGATCATGTTTCTTTCTATAGAATTAGGGTCATGCACTAACTCGCTGGCTAGAGACGCCCACACCCAAGAAGGTTAATCGTTATTGATAAGTTCACAATGTGTGTTTGTGCAAATGCTGAAACGTCTATTTCGCGAAGACGTGTGGTGCATTTTTACAGGATAGAACTATAGAGTTTTGAGAGGCCTTTGGGTACTTAAAGTGCCGCCGTGATATTGCTGGAATATTGCTAAAATCGGAGTAAAACTAAACTCACTCACTCACCAACGTTAAAGTGCCCTTACACTAAACAGCGTTTATAACGAACACGCTTATACTGAGCTGATGGATTTAGCGATTTGTGTTTGGTCTAGGGCATTGTTGTTATAACCGTAGTCTCCGGGGTTAGTATACCTTGCCTTATGGGGGTATCCATATTAAGAGCTACGTGGTTGGCTAATACTAGACTAGCATCTTCTCTCTGACATGGACATATTTTACAGATAAATTATGTTAATAAAATATATGAAAAGGAGCCCAGAGACTTTCTTCCTGACTTTCTTCCTCTATAAAGTAATCTGGACTTGAAGTATATTTCAGACTTGCATGGGCAGCATTGATCTATTTGTTTCAGGACCTGTATGACAGATTAGGCTACCACTAGTATGAGTCCAGACATGTATACGTTACAGGTAAATTGTATAAGCCGTTTCAACGTAAAAATGTCTAAAACTTTCAGTCAGCTCGTGAAATTTCAAAAAGGGTCAGTGGTTCCATGAAATGACTAAACCGTCTAGTCAACTGATAATATGACTGAAAATTACTCGCAGACATTCAATGAAATGTCTAAATGTTATCTGGACAAATATGTAAAGAAGAAGAGATAATTAAGTTTCACATCTTTCATTGGTGTACTTTAAGTGTTGAGATATCAAAGAAGAATGTATTATACTCAGCATGTCAAACGATCTTTGTATATATTTTATTTCTGATTTAAAAAAGAATAAAATAAAGGTTTCTGAAATTGAGGTTTATGCTGTTTCAACGGTTTTCATTTACTGACTGAAGAGGAATCGTTTCTATGAGAAACGTTTTATGATTCCCAAGATGTCTGTTGAAATGTTTTGTACCGTAACATAATGACTCAGATAATTTGACAGCAAAAGCATAAATGTATACTCAATTTGTGAGATGTCAGTTTCAGAGATTCCGGGAACAAATTCAAATTAATTTCTTGAGTAGGCGCCATTCAGGATGTTATACAGTGTACTGATCAGTTTCATTCCTGTATATGGGTCACCTCTCCCACGATCTAACTGTGGTATAGGTACAGCAATATTGCTGTCTTATCTGTATATCGCCACATCTCCCCACTATGAGCACTGCTGATCTCTGGCCACTTCAGTTCGACCTTATCTGGTTGGCTGAGATGTCATAAGGCAAGAACTTCGTGAGATACACCTAGGTAAACATTACTCTCTTGTAACTAACATGGAACTTATACAATATGTGGATGAGTTCTTGTCACTGAGTGAGTGAGTGAGTTTGGTTTTTACGCCGCTTTTAGCAATATTCCAGCAATATCACGGCGCGGGACACCAGAAATGAGCTTCACACAATGTACCCATGTGGGGATTCGAACCCGGGTCTTCGGCGTGACGAGCGAACGCTTTAACCACTAGGCTACTCCACCGCCCCTCTTGTCACTGAGAAAGGTGCTCACTCCTCGATTGGGGCTATGGGGTCAGTCTTGTGGTGATATGCTTCGTTTCTCACTCCGTAGACCCGGTTGTCGCCTCTATGTACTGATATGCGTGCGCTTAAGTTTAGACATCACAGTAAATTAGAAGCCATATGATATATGTATGTACCGGACTGACTCATCTCAAGCCATGGAGTATATTCATATAACAGAGTGGGTTACAAGTTAGAGTGTGTTGTATTGGATAACTATTTGCCTGAATACTATCGGCCATGAAGCCAAAAACAGACACCATTATTCCCGCCTTCTCATGAACCGACTTGCCAGTTCAGTTCTGACTGGAAATTCGAAATTTATTGTTCAAATAACCCATGGTATTCCTTGAATGTAATAGACAAACTGTTCCCGATCTCCCTCCCCCTACTTTTAGAATGTAATCTAATGTTCCGACTTGTGCGTGGCATTTACAACAATAAACGTGTCAGGCAATGTCCAAACTACAAGAAACAGACGATTATGGCGACTGGCTGAACGCTAAAGCAGACCAGTAATTAAAACAAGCAATTATTTAACGTCATATAGTCTTACACTGGAACCAATTCTTCTATCCCAGAGGGGTTATTAGAAAGGAATTAGGCAGATGTGGCTGGAACTCTCTAGATTTGACAAGATCTAATGGGTTTAAGGGTGACTGTCTAACTAATGAACGTGGTTAAATACACCTAGAGGCATTGGTTTGTGGGCACTATCTGTGTCGCTTGACTTCACTGATAGAATGGACCTACAATGTCGTGTAGGTAAGGAATGGCGTTACAAGAACTAATATAGATATAGTCTGTTGCCCTGCATTTAAGGACTGGCATTCACATAGATACAGTCTGTTGCAACTGTAGATACAAACGGATGATATTTACAGTGTTGCAACTGCACGTAAGGCCAAGCCTTCTTTACACGGACTAAGCCAGACGTAGTGAGTGGCATATGTTGCATTATATGTAAGGACAAGTGATGCTCACCAGCCCTAAGTTTGTTTCTTAGGAAAGACCAAGGACAGTACAGATACAGTCTGTTGCAACTGAAGAGAGGTCTTTGTTTAAAAGAGCTGATGTAGATATGAAGCAGATGCTGATGAAGACAGGCTTACTTTACAAGAGCCAATCATGATACAAAATGTCTAAGGATATTCTTTAGGACTATGTCCAAAAATAAAAAATCCCAAACAATACATGACAAATGCCAAAAAGCCACAGAAACTAAAAAGATTTCCTGAGATTATTCTTATTTTCTGCAG